ACACTACTCACCAAGGTAGAATGTAGAGCATTGTCTTTATAAGCTGTGTCATGCCAATTGAGCTAGATGTTCCCCGAGACCATGGTCCCCACAGCCCTCCACCAAGCAATTCAGTCCCTCAGGGCGTTTGGATGTGTCTATGGGGCTTCCATGACCTTTCCCATAAGGGAACTTTTTGAGGTGATTGTTGTTGTTAGGTGCTGTCACGTAGGTTCCAACTAAAAAAAAAAAAAAATTCCTCAGCTTGGAGATCAAGACATTCGACAATCTGATGCAAACTCTTCTAATTGTGTCACCTTCACTTATTATGACCACCCTTCCCAGTCCCTATTTTAGCCAGGTTGGGTTACCTTCATACACCACACCCAACCAACTCCCATGTTTTGATGATACTGACTTTCTATGGGGTAAACATTGAGGACATTCAGAGAATTGTCTTAATCTATATATACGTCAAGATCTAAACGAAGTTCTTCTCTTCTAGGTCTTCCTCTACCACTTCTTGGCTTCCTTCTGCTATAAACTTTTATTAAATTCACTGTCTACACCATCTATTTTTCTGCTTTTAAATTTAACCTAATTCTTTCATGTTTCTATCTTATGTCATGTGTATATCTTACACCAAAAAAGAAAAAAAAAAAGTAAGCTCCTGGTAAAGGTGCCTCAAGGACTTTCCAGCCTTACTTGTTCTTCAATCAAATTATTAAAAACCTATTGCTGTCGAGCTGATTCTTACTCATAGTGAACCTACAGGACAGAGTAGAACTGCCCCCATAGGGTTTCTAAGGCTATAAATCTTTAAGGAAGAGGTTAGCAGTCAAGCATTTAACCACTGCGCCACCATAACCCCTAATTAATTGAAGCAAAGTGGTTAAGTGCTCAGCCTCTAACCAAAAGGTCAGCAGTTTGAATCCACCAGCCACTCCCTGAAAACCCTACGGTTCTACTCTGTCCTATAGGGTCACTGTGAGTCAGAACTGACTTGATGGCAATGGATTTTTTGGGTATCAGCACTTTTTGAATTTCTTTCACTTATAAGGTTGTCCATCCTAAATTAAGAGTAAAATAGGACCATTTTATGTATTATCATATAATAACCTTAAGAATTTACTTCTGCATATGAATAACAGTTGAATATTTGGCAGTAGACATGATAACAATTTTCTTACTTGTTTTATTATTTTGTATTTCTAAACTGTACTTTTGAATTCTGTGTTAGAGAATTGTGGCCTATTACCTCCACACAGAAGCTAATGAATTAGTTCTTCTGTGAAAATAGTTTAGAATTCATGTAATAATTTTAGACTTAAAAAAAAAATCTCTATCTGTAAAATCTGGACTTGTTGAAGAGACTATACCTACGTCCTTCAGAAGCTGCAGCATCAATACTTAAAATATCAGCAGGAAGTTTCAGGGGTCAGCAGAATACTCTTTAATGCTAAAGCCTGCCCAAGTACTGAACACAGTTATACTAAGCAGGTGACTTGTACAAAGTATTGGTGATAGCACAACATTCAGCTTTCTAAGAGTTAAAGTGGGGCTGCATAATGAATGGAGGTGATGCTGAGTAGTTAGGAAATGCTGGTACAGAGAGGCAGAAAGACCAACCTAGCTTACCTTATTTATAGAATAGGCAATGTTCTCAGCCAAAGTACTGAAGAAAAAAAAAATTGGTTCAGAAAGGCATATTTACAACCAGTGCCAAGATTTATAAACACCACCACGTTCAAATAAGAACAAACATTTGTTTATTGAAAAACGTATTTCCAAAACTGAAACTTATCTGTTAGCACTTCTGTATCCGTCTGACTTTATTTTTTTAAATGCCTTAAACATGCAAATCAGGATAAAAATAAGTAAAAGTCCCAAACGTTCAAGAAACCACATGCTAACTTCGGATGTTACCTATGTTTTCTTGGACCAATCAATGTTTTTAAGAGACGGAGATACTGGTACCTTTTCTCTTAAAAGAAATACTTATACATCTCACCAACATTAACTTGTAGCACAGAGCATCCCATATAAAAACACAATGTCATTAAAAAAGCAAACAGGAATCCTGAAAGAGAAAAGAAACTCCAGTTTGAATAAAATAAATTGTCCCCAGAGACTTTCCCCGTTATCGTTTAGGGCAACCAGACAATCCTTCCCACCCACACCTTACCCCAGCAGGTGTGTATTAATATAAAACTCTAATTGCTAAGCATGAAATTAAAACATTACTTATAATCCTTTCCTAATTATTTACAACTTTCGTCTCTTAGCAAATGTCAATTTCTTAGGATGACTTGCTTTTTAAGTCCCACAGTGCCAATAAATTCCAATAATAAAATTATCCACACAATTTATTATTTCACACATAATTAATAATATAAAGCATATTTCTTCTCTAAAGAAACTTAACATAAACATTCAGTGTAGCCTAGTTCTGTTACTTTAAAGAAGAGAAGCAGCACTCAGTTAGTGTTTTTTTCTGAATTCATTTCTCTAGAAGACCAGTCTTTAAGGATTTCTGGAGTCTAGCTATGTTGGCATCCAAAGCTGCAAGGCCATTTCTGAAGTCTTGCTCATCGCGAGAAGTAAACGTTGAAAAAGAAGAGATACTCCAGTCAGACATCAAGTCAGAATTTAAAAAACTACCATCGGAGACAGCATTGCCTTTCATTTCAAGGTTGTTGCTTTGACAAGCTGAGGGGCCATGGGAGACGGCCTGTTCCCGTGCCTTCTCAGGGGCAGTGGGAATCTTACTGATTGCTTCCTTTATTTTCTTGAGGAGCTGTCTGTCTTCCATATCATCTGTCCTGGAAAGTTTTTCAGGTTCATCTTCCGCTTCGTTTTTTGAAGAGGAACAAGCTATGGGAGCACATAGCTTATGTTCCTTTTCAGAGACAAGTCCACTCTTGCCAGCTGGCTGGGGTGTAGCTACATTTACCTGCGGCTGGGGGGATATTCTCTTAGATGGCGGCGATTTCTTTTTAGGAGTGCTTCTAACAAAAGGAATGTAAATCGTATCGTCCAAATTACATCCGTCTTCTGTGAACGTCTTGGTTTCGCTCTCCTCATCAGAACCCTGCTCTGAAGTGACAGAAATAACTCCAGGGGCTGATACTTCCTCCATGCTCTTAGGGTTACTGTGCTGAGGGACTCTGGAGGGCACAACATTTTCATGGTGTCTATCTGGCACCATGTTTCCCTCATTTTTAACTGTAGAAAGGGGCTCTGAATGGGTAAAAATGTGATTTGTTTCTAACTTATTTAGGTAGCTCATTATGGAAGTGTGAGTAGGGACTGGGTCATGCTGAAGTTGTTTTTCATAAATGTTCAGAAGCGATTTGGTAAGGTTATTCCCAGGCTTGCAGCGAGCACTGTCCGTACTAAGATCTGAAAGAAGCTTTGCCATACTGCTCTGTAAAGTTCTGTTAAGAAGAGTTTAGTACACTAATTACTATTTTTTTTTTTACCTGTTTATTTAATTTATTTATATACAACTCATCATCTTAAAGAAAGAAAAGTGCCTGGTTCTTAATTTGGAAACAAGCAATTAAAAGCACAAAATCATAGGCAACACTCTGGCAAGGGTCCATTAAAATAACACATGATAAAAAGTCTTGGTCAGCATCAAATCTAATATTATATTTAAAAATATAGAATCAGAATTTTTTTTAAGACATAAGGATGCTTTATTTTAGAGAAACATTGCAAAATGAGCCTTAGAGTGAAAAATTAGCCTAATATAGGTAGACTAAGGAGCAAAATGGAAAATATGCAACTCGTTTGTTAATGAATTCTGTTAGAAATTAAGTTACTTCTCTCCATTCAAGATATATATACAAGGACACTTCTAGTGAACGATACTGAAAAAAAAAAAAAGGATGGTTAGAGATAATTACCCAGCATATTTAAGAATAAGCAACAGCTTAGATTCCAGGAAAAACGTAATATAAGGAAAACACACAGGGTTTGAATTTAGACAGAAATGGAATCAAATTCTAGCACCATCACTACCTGTGATCTTCGGCCAGTCATCAGCCTTTCTGAATCTCAATTTTGCCAATCATCAAATGAAGCTACTTACTTCAGAATTACAACAAAGATTAAATAAGATATAAGGATAAAGTGCTTTGCACAGATTTCAGGCTAAATAGATATTCATTTGATGGCAGCTTTTATTAGTAGTTCTACTAAAGTCACTTAACAACAAACCTTTAGTCTATTTGAATGGAATCATATATGTTCTTATAAATCAATAAGAAAATGATAAACATCAATTTTAAAAATATACAAAGGACATCTACAGGTAATTCACAAAAAAAAAAAAAAAGAAGAATTATACATAGACAATAAGCATGTTTTTAAAGTTCGACTTTTAGGCAGAGAAATTCAAAGTTAAAGATTTTTTTTTTTGGGGGGTGGCTATCAAATTCACACGGTAAAATAAGAATAATACCTACTGTTAGAGAAGCCTGGAGAGGCATGTACAGCTAGTGGGAGTACACACTGATAATAACTCTTCTTGAGAGTAAACTGGCAATATATTCCAGAAACCTTAAAGATTTATATACACCCTTTGACCCAGCAGTTTTCATTTTTAGGAATTTATCCTACTAATTATATAGAAAGATGCTGCATACAAAGTTACATTTACAAATATATTATTTGTAATAGAAAATAAATAGACACAATCTCTATCTTCAAATACACGAAACTGATTTAGGTAAATATGGTGTAACTACATCATAACCATTAGTAGTCATGTTTTAAAGAATATTTATTGATAGTGAAATGATTAAATAAGACTAAATTTTAAAAAGCAGGCCATAAATAATATGTATACAATACTATTTTTGTAAAAATAAATAGCCATACATTTACACATTAAATACTAAAAGGAAATCTCTGTTCTAAAGTCACCAGTGATTATCTCTGGATAAAAGTATGAGTGATTTTTTTCCTACAAAAGTAAAAAAGAAGACTTTTCCAACCTGGTTTATAATCTCATCTTAAACATGCTGTGTCCTGATTTCTGACTGCTCTTCACATGACAATGGCTTCTACCACTTCTTCTCAGACTTCTTTCAAAAAGCTAATGAGCTATTATTAAAAGACACAAATATGCTAGAGGAACATATCATTAAAGGAATGCTGTAATGAATAATGACCCAGTAATCTGGAGTTACTGGGTAGCAGATGGTTAACCCACCCAGCTGCTAAACTGAAAGCTTGGAGATTTGAGTCCACTCAGAGGCACCTCGAAAGAAAGGCCTGGTGATCTACTTCTGGAAAATCAGTCAGTGAAAACCCTATGAAGCACAGTTCTACTCTGACACGCATGAGGTCTTCACAAGTCAGAACTGACTCAACAGCCAACTTTTCTTTTTTAAATTAATTCGATAACATTGCACATTAGAACTTTTATTTTTTAATTTTTTGGAAGAGGAATACTTATATATGAGGTTTCTTTCCAGACTTAAACAGAAATGTTATCTTTGGTATGAACAAGACCAGGCATAAAGAAAGGAAGGAAGGAAAGGATAATGACATTAATAGAAGCTTAATCTCCAGAAATTAATAGCAATTACTAATCTTCTGATAGAAACAAAATGTGACTCACCATCATCTTTGAAATTAAAAATCTCTGTAAGTAGAGATGAGAGTATGTCAAATTTTTAGAAGAAGCAATCCCAAAAACCAAATCCAGTGCCACCGAATCGATTCCGACTCATAGCCACCCCACAGGGTTTCTGAGGCTGTACATCTCTACAGAAGCAGACTACCACGTCTTTCCCCCTCAGAGTCACTGGTGGTTTTGAACCACCGACCTTTCAGTTCGTAGTTGATCGCTTTAAAGTGGATATACCTGTGCTTCTATTATACACATCAGTTAAACACATTGGTTTCTAATGCTTAGAAAATTGGCAAATTTTCATAATAAGAAACGCAAGGTTCTTTCTAGACTATTTATAAAAATATATTCACTTAAATAACTACCAGCACATGTAAAGTGCTCTAAGAAGCTATTAGAAGAACATCTGCTATTTACAGAAAATATATTAACTTTCTCACATTTTAACGGTCTTATAACATTAGTTGCAGTGAAATCTGAAAAAAGTGATAAATATTATATTTCAAAATTACTGAAGATTGGACAAGGGAGAGAAAAATAGTTTCAGACATTTGTTTAGACCTTATATGTGTACCTCCTAGGCCCATTACCCCTCCCAGCTAAGTCTGAGAAAGGCATTTATACATTTTATGAAATGTCTTTTCCAAGAGATTATTTAAAACACACATACAAAAAGCATACACCTATCTGACTGAATGCATTTATGAGTACAGGTAAGAGGAACAGGGGTTTATTGTACTGTCTGAAGCTGCTGCGTGCATTACCCTCTAACGTCAAAAGTAAAATCAAAGTGGGCATACCAGCCTAATTATAGTACTGGAGATATTCTCAGTGAGATACTGGTTGAACTGCATAGGGTCTCACCACGTACACTATAAATCACAAACATGAATGAACGCAGATACTCATAAGCTCAAAGACAGTTTTTTGTTTTTTTATATAAAGGATAAAACAAAAATTGCCTTTGATGAGTATACTTAGCATTTTGAAGCTGTTATTGAATCTTCAGAAAATGTAGGGGTAGCAATAAACCCTATATAAGGCACTGTGCTAAACCTGCCCACTATGTTTCTAATTTTATTTTTTCCCATATGAAAATTTATACATTGTTATATGAATCTAATTGCTCTCCCCATACTGTGACAGCACACTCCTCCTTTCCACCCGATTCCCCACGTCCATTCAGCCAGCTCCTAACCCTCTCTGCCTTCCCGTCCCACCTGTGGACAGAAGCTGCCCATTTAGTCTCTTGTATCTCCTTGAGCTAAGAGGCACACTCCTCACGAGTATCACTTTATGTCCCACGGTCCAGTCCAATCCCTGTCTGAAGAGTCGGCCTCAGACATTGTTTTAGTTCTGGGCTGATAAGAGAACATAGGGGCCATGCTTTCCGGGGTTCCTCCAGTCTCAGTCAGACCATCGAGTCTGGTCTTCTGACTAGAATTTGAGTTCTGCACCCCACCTTTCTCCTGCTCCGTCGGGGGCTCTCTGTTGTGTTCCCTTGTCAGTGCCCACCGTGTTTCCATAATCGTTTAGAGTCCAGGGAATGGGATTTACAGGTGAGCTAGTAGTCATGAGGCAGGCCTTACATCCAGCATAAAAAGAAAAGTGTTTAATAATAATTCTTGAGTGTTTTAAGGAATAAAAACTCTGTATCTAATAGTTTAGACATAACCTTTTCTAAAAGCAGGTATTATATAAGAATTAATGACCTTTTTCACTTCCTAGGATTCTATGTTAGGGTAAATGTTAAGAAGAAGGGTCCAGTTGCAAGCAGATCCTTCTTTATTCCTAATGAACACAGAAAAAGACAGAATGGGTGTTATTTTAAAGGAATGATCACGTACAAAGTATTTTCTACAAAGGTAAAAGAACCCTTCAATATTCAATAACAGGTCATCTTCACTCAGAGAGATGCTGTCTTTTTCAAAACAAGAAGTACGTCTGAAAAGAGGGAATCTGAAGTCCTGGCTCAGCTCAGGCACCAACTAGCTGTGAGAGCAAGGTTAAGTCCCTTCATTTCTTCCGGCTTCCATTTATGCGCATTTCTAGGATAGTTATACTATCACTTACCCTGAAAGACTGTTCTTATGTTTTCGCTAGCAAGTTTCTCACCAAATACACCACATATGTTGAATGATACTTAGTCGAGTTTATCCGCAAAAAAAAGACCTCCGCTATCATTACTGAATGTCTTGATCAAAGATTCTACAGAAGCAGCCAAATGAAAAGGAAGAATATACAGAACAGAATTTCACATTTTCTTGGAATCCAGACTTTCTGGAGCCACTGTGACTAGATGAACCCCTGAAACTACTGCCCTGAAATAACCTTTAAACCAAAATATCCCGGAAGTCTTCTTTAAACCAAACAAGGCTGTGGTTGTGTGCCATCAAGTCAATTTTGACTCATAGTGACCCTATATGATCAAATACAACTGCCCTATAGGGGTTCCGAGGCTGTCATGTTTACAGGAGCAGATCGCCCAGGTTTTTTCTCCCTTGGAGCTGCTGATGGGTTCAAACTGCCGTCCTTTTGGTTAGCAGCCGAGCACTTAACCATTGTGGCACCAGGGCTCCTTAAACCAAACAACAGTTTAGCTTAATCAGTACAGACTGTCTGCCTTGAGCATTGTGCTCTTTTAAAGAACTATCTCTATGCGATCACACTGACAACAGCAGCTTGAAAGTTAGATAGGAAAGTTAGGGGGCAGTGAGTTTATGTTAACAGGAAAAGGAGCATGAGAATGGTTACATAACTTGAAGAATTTTATCAATGTCACTGAATCGTACATGTATGAATTGTTGAATTGGTATATGTTCCGCAGTGTACATTTTCAAAAACAACAGCAAAAGTAAATTATTAAAAAAAACAAAAACAAAAACATATCTTCCTGCACAGGTCATCAAAGCACTAGAATCAGCTTTTTGCTTGAAAATCTGGATATTTAGCAACTAAACTGATTAAATATTTTTCTCATGTTTCACACACACATATCTGGCACATAATAAATACACAATAAATCTTTGCTGAATAAATGACTAAGTGAATGAATCCATTCATTTGCCTATCTATCTCCCAGAGGAAAAATGTTAAGATTTCCTTAGACAAAATTAGGCATGGAATTGTTACCAGGAATAGGAATAAACTATCTTAGCCTTAGAGCTGTGCCACGTGCCAGAGGGAAAGAAAAAGCTGGCTGGGAATGAAGAGGTCTGAGTTCCAGGCCCAGCTCTGTCATTAACTTTCTATTAACACTTAACTTATGAGAAGAAAACTTCCAGGGAAGCAGATTCTCTGGTTGGGGCTGAGAACTATGCCCCTTAGAAGAAGAAAATGCTCACAGTGATGCCTAAGCAATGCTCATATGACACTCTGACTTACTAGTCTTCATTTTTACTAAATTGACTGTACACCATATATACTTTCCAAATAAACAGACATCAGCTTTATTGACATATGGAGCCCTGGTGGTGCAATGGTGAAGAACTAAAGCTGCTAACCAAAAGGCTGGCAGTTCGAATCCACCAGCTGCTCCTTGGAAACCCTACGGGGCAGTTCTACTCTGTCCTATAGGGTTGCTATGAGTCAAAATTGACTCCATGGCAAGGGGTTTGGTTTTTTTTTTTTTTTCACATATAATTCACATACCAGAAAATCCACCCTTTTAAAGTATGTATTTACAGAGTTGTGCAACCACCACTACTATCTAATTCCAGGATATTTTCATCACCCCAGAAAGAAACCTCACACTCATTAGTAGCTGCTCTCTACTCCCTCGTTTTCCCCCGGCCCCTGGCAACCAATAATCTACTTTGTTTCGGTGTATTTGCCTATTCTGGACATTTCATATAAATAGAATAACACAACATATGGCTTTTTGTAACTAGCTTCTTTTACCATATTAAAAAAAAAAAAAAAAATTGTCGACTCCGACTCATAGTAACCCTACAGGACAGAGTAGAACTGCCCTATAGGGTTTCCAGGAGCAGTGGGTGAGTTTGAACTGCTGACCTTTTGGTTAGCAGCCAAGCTTTCATCTACTGTGCCACCAGGGCTCCCTTTTACCATATATACTTGATAAAAAATTACTCCTTAGAAAAGATGACACTTTCCTTTGGGGACCTTACAAAGGCTCTCCTATGAAGGGACATTCAATTCCTCTATTTTGAGTAAGAGTGGTATAAGCCAATGTTTTAGAAACTCTGACTAGAACCTAACCAATTATAACACTAAATGGATCCAAATGTCTATTGTTTTTCCCATTGTTCAACAGGAGTTTGAATGAAATTATTCCATAAATGAATGAAAACATAGAAGTAGTATTTCTATATTAACATACCTTATATAGTCATTTTAAATGATTATAAAACTAAGTGAATAAATTAAATATTACATACGTATTACTATTTCATCAATAAATAATTTATATTTCTTTATAATCATATTATAAACTAAAAGCTTATAATTCAAAATGGGGGAAAATGACTATTTTGGGGAATCTTCTAATTGGAAATACAAAGGAGACTGATTTATATTCAGGATTGTCTGATATTTGGAACTAAAAGATCCCAGGATCATTCAAAGGCATGGTCAGATCTGATGATCTTCAGGCCTAAAATAACTGTGGGTATCTCCTCTAGGGTTTTAAAAAGTGACTGAAGGTCCAATTCTAAGCACATGTCTCAAAAGAAAACTAAACTTTTTAAGAGCATATCGTACTAAAAATTGAGTGAGGTGACTTTTTTATTTGAGAAAAACAGAACAAAACAAAACCAAACCCGTTGCTGTCGAGTCGAGTCCAACTCATAGCAACCCCGCAGGACAGAGCAGAACCGCCCCATAGGGTGTCAAAGGCTGTAATCTTCACAGAAGCAGGCTGCCACATCTTTCTCCCACAGAGCAGCTGGTGGGTTCAAACCACCAACCTTTTGGTTAGCAGTCAAGTGCTTAACCACTGTGCCACAAGGGCTTCTTATATGAGAAAAGACATAATAAGTTTATAATCTTTGATTGTTAGTGAATGAAGGGATCTCAGAGGCTGCTGTCAACTCCTTCATTTTACTGGTGAAATAAAGTAAATGAGATTCAAAGAGGTAAAATGGCTTATTCAAGATCATATAGCATGAGGACCTACTAGGCTAAATGGTTCTCATGACTCATTTCTTAGACCTCCCATTAACCCTGTTCATGTCCCCGCTTTACAGCTAAGGCTTAGAGAGGTCACATAACTTGCTCAAAGTCACACAGCTAATAAGGGGCAGAGCTGGGATTGCATCTCAGGTCTCTCTACCTTCAGACCAGCAGGAACTCTTAAGTTAAGAGTCTTAACCACTTTGCTGTACAAGCCTTTAGCTCCTCATCAGAGACCTTTGCTGAGAATTACCTGGTTGAAAAATGCATTTTACTAGTTTGAAATTTCTAAATTAACTTAATTGGAACACCACTAGAAATTAACAAAAGCAGTGACAAAAAAAGAGAAAAAGGGGAAAGACTGCAAGTCTGAAATTAAAGTTTATAAGTGCATCTGATAAAAAGCATGGGTTATTCCCAAAGTCAGTATTACCTGGTTAACTCTCTCAGTCGAGTCACCTCAGCATCACGCTGACGTAATGTTATTCCTAGTATCTGATTTTCCTTCTCAGCAGCTTCTAATTTAAACTGGGAGCTGTTCACACTGACTAAGGCTTCCTCCAATTCTAAAACATCCAATCAATAAACAAATAAATAAATAAAAGTCAGCTTCCTTACTACTTTTTAAAAATGTGACCATAACTATAGTCCAGATAAATACCGATTTTCATCCTTGTTGTCTCCATGTCAAACTGCTGTTTATTTTCAAGTATAGTTTGATTTTTCTCTTTGAATATACTGGCAAATTTCTTGTTTTCATCTTCCTGGTTTTCAATCACTTTTAAGAGCTCTTCGTTTTTCCTCTGCAGTGATTCCTGAGTCTCCAGTGACTCCTGCAACCGATTCTGCAGCGACACGTTCAACGCCCGGAGAGAGAGCACTGTAAGACGAAACAGACGAAGTAACTGTTGTCATAATTTAAAAAGCACAAACCTGCAAAGATCTGGGCGGGGCGAGGTGGGGGGCTTTGCTTATTTTCAAAGGCCCAGAATTTATTGCTTTTGCTTAGCAACTATACGCTTGAGCAGTTCTACATAAATATCAAATGTATTTTAAAAACTGATTGGCAGAAGTCATGCCTTTTTCTGCAATTGATTTTTTGGGCATTAATTTTTGTTTTTCTAAATGAGAATAATCTATGTACAAAGTAAAAATAATTAAACACCACCAAATACCAATGATACCAAATAATTCTCAGTGAAGAGTCTCCTCTTACTCCACCTCTACTATCTCTCAGAGGCCATCACTTTGGTATCCTTCTGGAAAACGCTTTCGCATATATGTCTTTAAACAAACCTAAGTTAATCACATTGTGCACACTGTGTCTGACCTGGCCTTCTTCCCCCGTAAGGTTGTTCTATATGAGCAGAGATCTACCACATTCTTTTTAATGGTTATAAAAGCATCGGGCACCATCCACCTCATAAGCACAGCCTTGACCGAATGCTTACTATTTGTGAGGCACTGTATTAGAATGTGGGTAGACAGCAGTGTACAAAATAGACATGGTCCCTGCTCTCATGGAGCTGATAACAAACAATCATAAATGGTAATAAGTGCTCTGAAGGGAATGGTAAGGTAGATGGGCAGAGAATACAAAGAGAAATTACTTAAGAGTAGCAACAGAAGGGTTCATGCAGGGGATGAGTTTTAAATTGAGGCCAGAGGGTGAGAAGAAAGGGGGAGGGGTTTGAGAGGGCAAAAGCAGAGCCTGCAGGAAAGCCTTGAGATATCCAAGAGCTTAGACTTCTGCAGGTACTAAAATGAGATCAGTGTGGCAAGAACGTGGTGAACAAGGGAGAAATGGGGGAAAATGGAACTCAGTAACGTGAGAGGCAGGCAGCAGCCAGACGATGTAGGGTCTCCTTGACCCTAAGTAATTTTTATCTGAAGTACAATGGGAAGTCATTGAAAGTAAGAGGCAGAGTAATTTCGTAAAAGAGCACTTTGGTTCCACTGAGAATAAAAGATATGGGGGCGGGGGGGGGGGCAGGGACTTGGAGGAGGATAGAGAAGAGCCAAGATATGAAGTAGGGAGATCAACGGTTCAATTAACAGATGATACTGGCTTAGACCAAGCTTCTGGTGAAGTTGAACAATTCTATGAAATGTTCTGTTGGGTGCTCATACTGTTATTATTGCTTATAAGAGATCTTTATATATTTAGAACATTAAGCCTTTGTCATGCATCATAAAATTTTCCCCATGTTGATGCTTTTTTAATATATTTGTAATTTTGCTGTTCAGAAATTTTAAAAAACTTCTTGGGGCGTATTTTATCAACCTTTCCCTTTGTGGCATCTGAGTTTTTGTTAGGTTTAGGAAAGGCTTCCAAACATACCAAAAAAAAAGTTCTCATCTACTAGAACTATTAGTTTTTTCTTTAAGCTCTGTGACCCATAAGGACAAGTGGGCAATATCTGTCAAAACTGTAGCTAAATATAGCCTTTGACACAGCAGTTTATTGCTATAAATCTATCCTACAAAAATGCTCACATATGTGCACAAAAACGCATGTACAAAGATTTTTATTGCAGTATTGTTTCTATTTGAAAAAGAGAGAGAGAAGTGTCTACATATCTATCAGTCAAAAAACCAAAACCTGTTGCCATCGAGTCTATTCCGACTGTCTATCAGCAGAGGTCTTTAAATAAATGATGATACAGCAGCATAATACCCAAGCAGTTCTTAAAGAAGCGTATTTGTGCATTTGATATAAACAGTATGTACTACATGTTGAGTAAATGCAAGCTGCAGAAGAGTATATACAGTGTGATCTCATTTTTAAAAAGGAAAAAGTACATCTGTAGTTGTTAGTGCCTAGCACACAGTAAGTACTTGTGAAATAAGTCAGTTATATATGAACCGAAGATATCTAAAAGGAAACTCAGTTTTTATTTTTTGTTTTGTTTGTTGTTTTAAAAACAGGGGTATATTGCTGGGGAGTGATAGCACGGATCTTTTATTTTTGTGTGTTTCTGCATACTATTTGAAATTTTAATGAGTATTACTTCAATCTTTAAAAAAAAGTTGATTGAAAAAAAAAAGAAAATCCACCTAGAGAAAATTAATTAAGAAAGCCCAATTCTCTATCAACATTTCCAGAGCCACAAAGACTTTAACATCAATCCTTTAAGTTCTTTTTACCTACGTTTAAGGTTGCAGCCCAGAGAACCAGACGTCTTTTGACTTTTCTCTCCTTCTCTAAGTTGCTGGTTCAAAATTCTCACTTGCCTAAAGGAAATTACAAAGAAACACTGAACGCAGGAATCTCGCACCCATTTAAGTGTACATTTGACAGTCTGTCAAAAAAGAGAAAACATACAGTGGCAGCCAGTAGGATAGCAGAAGTCTACTCACCTTCAAAACGAGAGACTAAAGTCGAATGAACAAAACAACAATACGACTGTTATGAGGCCTAAGGTAATTAAAAAGAAATAGCTCTAGTGGTGGAAACAGGTCTCAAGAAGACAGGTACACAGGTATCCTCTGAGGTAGGAGTAGTTGAGGCTGAAGAGGGTGGGCCAGGTTAGCCAAGGAAGAGATCCCGAGACAGCATAAAACCTCACCTCACTAAAAAAGGTTCCTTTCTTTTTTCCTCTTTTCTTTTCTGTTCCTTTATCACTTAATGGTTTCTTCTTTCCTTCTATTTCTCTCATTTCCTATCTCCTCTTGCTGTTTTCTTCTTCTTTCTGTCTCCCTTCATCACTGTAGTTAATCATCTACTTTCTTAAAGATCTGTCATTGAACTAGAACACCTACAGGGACTGACTGCTATAAGACATCTGTTTGATATCCGTCACACAACGAAGAGACTAGGAGACACAAGCTTACACTTCTAATAATTTATTTATTGGATGGAAAAGTTAATGACCTTAACAAGAATATTAATAAGCAGCAACTTCACATACGCAGCTGCTTCACGAATAGGAATAAAAAGGAACATGAAAAAGTGTTTTCTTCTAAAATGGTACTGGAGCTTAAAAAAAAAAAGTTATCTCTAGTATCTTTCCAGAATTTTTTTTCCAGTTGTTGGTGAGGTGATTCAGGCTTATGGTGGCCCCATGTGTTTTAGAGTAGAACTGTGCTCCACAGGGTTTTCAATGGCTAATTTTTTGGAAGTAGATTGCCAGGCCTTTCTTCTGAGGCACCTCTGGGTAGACTTCAATCTCCAAACTTTCGGCTAGTAGCCAAGCACATTAACCATTTGCACCATCAAAGGACTCTTTTCCAGAATTACTTACCTGAAAATATTCTGTATTAGAATGTTTATTTTTGTTACTGAATCTAAAATGATAGTACCCTACCTCACACCATTCACATGTGTTAATTCCAGGTAGATTAAGAGCTAACCATAAAATATACAAACAAAAACCAAAAAAAAAACAAGTGTTAGGGGGAAATCTACCTAATCTTGAAATGGGAAAGGCATTCCTAAGCAAGATTCAAAATCCGGCAACTGTCAAGGAAAAGAATAAAGAATCTGATTACATCAAAATTTGAAACTTGTTCTAGAATTAACAGACCACCTATATAACAGACAGAGTCCACAACACTTAAAGAGCTCTTACAAATCAGTAAGAAAGGCAATCCTGTAAAAAAGTGACAAAGGATAACAAGAGGCAATTCACATAAGAAGCAGAAGTGGCCTATAAACCTACGAAAAATGCTCAGTGTAATATGAAAAACTACAAATTTAAAACTTGCCATTTTTGGCCACCAGAATGTCAAAAATAGAAGGAAATAACGCTCAGTGTTGTAAGGGCATGAGGAAATGAATTATCTCACATGGTGGGAGTCTACTGCTATAACCATGTTGGATGGCCATTTGGTAGCATCCATCCAAATATAAAATGTTCATAATCTCTGACAAAATAATTTTACCTCTAGGTAATCTAGCCTCAGAAATAGTTGTGCATGTGCAAAAGTATCTACAACCTTGTAGATGTATTACAAGGATATTCACAACAGCAAAATTTAACAGTGGGAAGTTCAAAAAACCTAAAATGCTACATGAATTATGATACATTCATACTACGAAATACTAATACACATGCCATTAGAAAGACTGAGACATATCTATATGTACCAACATAGAAAAATCTCCAAGACACATTATGAAGTGAAAAATGCAAGCTGTAGAACAGTATTATAATATGACCCCATATACTGCTTTTAAAAGCTCTATTATGTGTACATGTGTGTGTGGAGTATGCATGCATAGGGTCATACAGCTTCTGGAAGGAAATGCACCAATCTGTTAACAGTAGGGAGATAAGTGGAGATAGTATGTGTAAAAGGAAACTTTCATGTCTTACTTTATATCTTCTGTATTGTTTTGATTCTTTCACAAAAATATATTATCGTGCAATTAAAATTTAATGAGGACAGAAGCCTCAAACACTTTCAAAATGCTAACTATAATAAAATTCTGATTTTCTAAAAAGGTTTCCCTTTTACAACAAAGAGTGCACATCTAGAAAAGGCGGCAGAGACTGGTGATTCAGAACTCCCAACCAGAATGCTTCTTTTGCTATTTGCCAGAAAACTCTAAGTGGTGAGGTCCTCTTACATACCAAGCATGTGACAGCAGCTTTGCTTGACAATCTTTTTGCGTGTCGCTGGTCAGATTCCTCTCTTCCCCACAGAGGCAATCTAAACTTTGCATCACTCATGGGAAGTCTCTTATCCTTATCCCGCTCATCTAGTAGAATACCTTCCTATTTTCACTAAAATAACATGGATTGGGGACAAATGGTTGTCCTTCTGTCCCAGGGCCTACAAATTCATGTGTATGTAGACGAATCCTCACTTCTTTCTTCTAATCTCAGGAGCCTCATCTGCTCCCACCTCCTCCTGTGCCCTCAGAGACTCTACTCCTGTATCACTCCCTTTATCTTTTCATTCAACTTCTCTCTCTTAGCCGGCTCATGTGCCTGAGCTGAGAAGTATACTAAAATTGCTCCCATAGTTAAGAAAATACTCCCTCCAACCTAACTGTACCACTATCTACTCTCTTCCCTCTCATTGCCTACTTTCAGAGCCAGGTTTTTAAAAAATAAGTGTTGTATAAAAAATGATTCATAATGAATGATGTGTACATAAAAATAAATAGCAAAAGATAATCTTTTAAAAATGGATGTTATATATGCTTTTAAAATATTATGCATTAAATTTAAGTATACTTAACATTTTAATAAAGGAAAAGAAAAACTGCTGACATCTACTGACTTTTTTTTCAGTTCACTCATGATTTTTAATATCACTCATTGAGGTAAAATGAAAACAGCAATATTTAAAAGGTACAATTTGATAAGTTTTGGCACATGATGTGATGAAACCATCACCACAATAAAGGTAATGAACACATTTAACACCCTGAAAAGTTTCCTCATGCCCCGTTTTGTACCCCTTTCCTTCCCAGGCAACCACTGATTTATAGATCAGTTTGCATTTTCTAGAATTTTATATAAATGGAATCATACAATATATACTCGTTTATGTCTGGCTTCTTTCAGAATGATTTTGAGATTCATCTAAGCTGTTGCATATGTTAATAGGTCCTTCCTTTTTATTGTTGAGCAGATTCCATTTTATGGATATATCACCATTTGTTTATTCACCTGCTGATGGGCATTTCATGAACAAGTCTTTGTGTGGACATATGCTTTCACCTCTCTTGAGTAAATACCTAAGCGTGAAATAGCTGGGTCATGTCGTAGATGTATGGTTAATTTTTAAGAAATGGCCAAAATGTTTTCCAAAATGGTTGTACTATTTTACGTTCTCACCAGCTGAGTTATAAGACTTCTAGTTCCTTTATATCTTCAGCAACACATGATATGATCAGTCTTTTTAATTGTAGCCATTCTAGCAGGTATATGGAGCCCTAGTGGCAGAGTGGTTAAGCACTGGACTGCTAACTGATAGGTCGGCAGTTTGAATCCGCCAGCTGCTCCTCAGAAACCCTATGGGGCAGTTCTATTCTGTCCTATAGGGTTGCTACAAGTTGAAATCAACTCGATGGCAATGGATTTCTGGAAGGGTAGCACATTAAGGGCTCAGACTTGATAGTAATGGGTTTGGTTTCTTGTTTTTGTAAGTACAGTGGTATCTGATTAATGATGGTAAGCATCTTTATGTGTGTTTATTTGATATCCATATATCTTTTCTGATGAAGCGTCTGTTCACATATTTTGCCCACTTTAAAACTGGGTATTTGTCTTATTATTGAATTGTAATAACTCTTTCTATATTTTAAGAACAAGTACTTTATCAAATGTACATTTTGCAAACATCTTCCAGTTTGTGGGTTGCCTTTTCATTTTTAGTAGCAGTGTTATTTTGAAGAGCAAAAGTTTTTAATTTTGATGTTCAACTTATTTTTTCTTTTCTAGTTTAGAATTTTGTGCTGTATGTAAGAAATCTTTCCCAACCCAAGGTCACTAAGATTTTCTCCTATTTCTATTTCTACAAGTTTCATAGTTTTAGCTCATATTAAAATCTGTGATCCATTTCAAGTTAATTTTTGTATATGGTATAAGGTAAAGGTTGAGGTTTGTTTTTTTCTTTTTTTTAAATATTGCTCTCCAATTGTTCCAGCTCTATTTACCGAAACAATTATTCTTTTCCCATTGAATTTCTTTGGCACATTGTAAAAAAAAAATCAGTGTCCACATGGGTGAGCCTATTTCTGGATTCTCTGTTCTATTTCACTATTTGCCTACCGTTATATCAATGCCCAGATGCCTTTTACTGTAACATTGTCTTAAAATCAGACAGTACCAACTTTGTTCTCCTTTCCCAAAGTTGTTTTGATTATTCTAGTTTCTTTGAATTTCCATATATATTTTAGAATCAGCTTTCTAGAAAAAGCCTGCTCAAGTTTTCACTGGAATTACATAGAATCTATAGCTCAATGTGGAGAGTTGACATCTTAACAATAAGTCTTATGATCTCTGGGCCTGGCATATCTCTCATTTATATAGGTCTTTAATTTCTCTCAGCAGTGTTTTGTTGCTTTCAATGGATGGGACTTACACATCTTTTATCAAATTTATTCCTAAGTTTTTCATATTTTTTGATGCTACTATAAATGGTATTGATTTTAAATTTCATTTCAAATTGTTTGTTGCTGATACACAGAAACTCAGTTGATTTTTGTATACTGACCAAGTATCCTGCAACCTTGCTAAACTCAAGTGAGTTCCAGTTCTAGTAACTTTTTGTAATATCTGTAAGATTTTCTACAAAGACTATAATATCATCTGTAAATAAGACAGTTTTACTTATTCCTTTCCAGTGGGGCTAGTTTGTGTTTTTTTCTTGCCTTATTGCACTGGTTAGAATCTCTAGGAAAACGTTACGTAGAAAGAATAATCATTATTTGCTGGATACCATTCAGACTTTTTTTTCTAGTGTATATAGAGACAAAAACAAATAGCTAAACAGCATTTCTAAATAATGGGATAGTATTAAAATATTATTTTAAAATATCATGTATTGAATTTAGGATTACATGATTTTGACCCCCCCCCAAAAAAAAGGTAAAAAGTGAAACCAGAACTGATAAACTTTAACCAATGTTTTTTACTTTAAGATATTAATTTCTAAATAGACTAAAATTAAGAAAATGGTACATGAGAAACATTAAGAGTTTGGAATTATATTGTCAAGATTACGAACACATTCTGTTCTGTTACTATAATTCCCATAGTTGTTTAATCTTGGTTCTACATAAAGACAGATTCCCAGGTCATCTCTAGTCCACTCCTTCATTTGCATTCATCTCTTGATTGACTGGACTTTGCTGTGCAAGAGTTTCAAAGGAGCCCAAGAACTTAGGAAAGTCTTTCCAAAGTTCTTATACGTTTGAGAATGTGACTGTTGCCTTTACCATAAAAGGTTGGCTGGACCACATGTGAGATTCTTGGAGCATACTTTCTTTCCCTTAGAACTTTGTAAATGCTGTTCTATGATCCTTTGTCAACTAATATTGCCGTACAAGTCTGAGAACAGCTTGATACTTGCTTTTTCTTTTGGAGTGTCTATAAAAATTATTATTTTTTATTCTTAAAGTATAGTAATTTTACCAGCATATGTCTTGATGTTGATTGTTTTACATAGTTTTTCTGGGACCCTGGATGTCCTCTTAATCTGCAGACACAAATTCTTAGATTAGTAAATTTCTCTGTATTTATAAATCTTTTAACAATGTTTCTAATCCATTTGTTGTTCTCTTTTCCAGGAACATCAATTATGCCAATTTGCATCTCTTTGGTTTCTCTTCCTTCTGTATCATGTCTTCTATAATAATTTTTAGATCATTCTTTTTCCATTTTGATTTCTTCAAGATTATCCACCATGAATTTAGTCATTTAACAAGTATTTATTAGAGTAAGTCCTAGGCACTCTTCTCATACTGGAGATACAGCAGCAAATAAAAGACAAAAATTCACCCCTCATATTGCTTAAGTTCTACTGGAATATACTATTCCTGACTTCATTTCGTTTATTTGTTGTTTTTTTAAATGGGGCTTTCCTTTTGTAAGATTTTTATTTTTCTCTTTTCTTTTTCTGAGCTTACCTAGTACTTGTTTTCTTCGACTGTTTTATCCTCTTCAAACAATCTCTCCCTCTCTCTACGGGAGATTCTATTATTTTTAAATTTCCTTGAGACTATGGAATACTGCTAAGTTTTCTTGCAATTTTTTTTCTTTTTTGGGTTTTCATCTTATGATGTTTACACTTGCCCTACCTTTGTACTTTTTGTCAGTTTATCTGAATGTTATGCAAATATCTCTCCTCCTATAACGTTTTCCTCTCATGGTTTCTGTGACATCAGTCTCTCCTAGTTTTCCTGCTACTTCCCTACCTGCTCCTTCTCAGCTTCTTTCAGACTACTCTTCCTCTGTCCTTTCTTTAAAAAGCTGTTATTCCCCAACAATTCACTCTTGGCTTTGTGCACACTTTATGCCTTCTTGATAACAAATCACTTGCTTTTAGTTACACTGTCTCCAGTGCCTAGAACAGTGCCAGATCTATAGTAAAAGTTCAGTTAAAAAAATGTTGAATGAATAACTCCCATGGACATTTCGATCCTGAATCTTGTCCCTGTGCTTCAGACTCACATCCCAGATGCTCTACATGATGCATTCAGTGTGCCTAAATCTCACTGGCCCTCCTAACTAAAAGATAAATTCAAAAACAAATCTATTCCTCCTCTAATAGCTTCTGTCTGGAGGAATTATGTTACCATCTGTCAAATTATCCTCCCTCTCACTCCCATTTCATTTTTTTGTTCTGCATAAGTACGTAATGGTCTCATGTCTGAATCGAAAACCAGGAAACGGTCATAAATTCTAACTTTCCCTGTAAATATTAAGGCACTCTCTAGCTCAATGATTTGTAACTGGAGGTAGTACCACAGTTCCCTAACTCCTATTCAGGAAATTTAGGAATGTGCAAGAGCTTTTGGTGGTCAAAATGGATGGCTGGGAGGGGGCACTACAGACATACAGTGGGTGGAGACCAGGGAGGCTAAATGTTGGGCACTTGTCAGGAGTCCCACATAACAAAAACCTGTCCAGCCCCAAATACTAAAAATGCCATAGAAACCATGCTCCTAGCTATTTTTTTTTAAGCCACAAGATGGCAATAAACTCTAAGATAAAGTTCTGAAAGATCACTTTTCTGGCTAAACAGAAACATGTCTTTCTAAATGTCTAAACAGGAAAAAATATTTTTGTGATTGAAAATGATGAAAACCACTTTTTAATGAAGCTATGCATTCCAATTATCATTGGTAATGGAGATCATGATTCTTTCCGAATAAAAATGGCACAAAAATTCCCACACTTCTGCTGAAAACCTCATTCTGCTAAAAGGCACAGATGTGACAAATTCTTCATTTCTCAATAATTTCATCTTTTAGAAAGGCAAATAAACAACTGTGGCAATAGCATGGTATATAATCTTTGTCCTTTAAAGACACACAGCCAAAAAAGCTCCGATGCCAAGTCTGAAGAATCAGGTTAGACATCAAACTGATATCTTTTTAAAAAAATTAATACCAAGCCATGACAATAAAGTATTAAGTCTCGTTTTCTTCAGTGGCTTATAAATTAGCTCCTAAGGCAATTATAAAATGTTCTAAAATTGTTTCAAGGAAAGGAAATAAGAACTATTGGTATTTCCCATTATGACAACGTTAAAATAGATAACATTCTGAGACTAAGTTCTGGTATGCTTATTTAAGAAACCAATTATTTTATAGTCCTACCTTTAAACAATATGCTTGTTTATTTTAAGGGCTTAGTTTAGTCATTTGTTCCACAAAATACACCTAGATATTGAAGTATAACTCAGTTAACCTCTACTTCCTAGCAGAGACAGTATAGAGGTCTAGAAGTTAAGAACACTGGGCTCTAAAATCAAACTGCCTGGGTTTGAGTCTTGACTCTGCCACCTTGTAGGTATGTGACGCTGGGCAAGTTACATAATCTTTCTGCGCCTTGGTTTCCTCATTTGTAAATGAGAATAATGTAATACCTACTTCATAGTGTTGTTGTAAGGATTTAAACAGATGGCACATATAAAGAACAATAGTGCCTGGCACATAACAAATATTCAATAAATGTTAGTAGTGGTATTTGCTGTTTATTATCCTTACTATTATTTATTCTGGTTTTTGGAAAATTAGTGCTTGTACGGGGATCCCTTAGGTCAGAAATGAAGAAAGTGTTATCAGAATTTAACCTCAGCAACCCCATCTTCTATCATGGTATCTAGAGAAAGAATCCTAAACAAGTAAATTTCACTAGGTGTCATGCCTTTGCAGGCTCCAGATCCATAAACCTAAGCTACGCTCCAATTAGGAATCCTATTTTACTGCTTTCCAAGTTCTTGAAACTGTTCGTTCGGCCCCATCTTGTACAATGTCCACAGCTGATGAGGCTGTAATGTTCTCTCAGGGCACACTCACGCTGCAGTGCTGCAGAAGCAGCTGAAAATGTGTTCCAACTCTCTGCGAAGTATTTTAATAAACAGACACTGGAGTGGTGGCCTCGGTGGTTGCCAATGGAACATGCAAAGTAAAGACATTATTGATAGCATATGGGTGATTTCCTATATTCCAAGATTAGATCTGAATTACATCTTTCCTAAACAAACTAAGAATATAATTCCAACAAAAATTAAGATGGCCAAAAGGAAAAAAACAAAAAATCGAAGAGTTAAAGGAGCTTTTTCTGTCTCTGAGCGTGGTGGGGCTACTAGTGCTTACCCACTTCAGGTTCCCCTTCCCGGGTACGTGAGAAGCACGAGAAGATGACATGTCCTAAACCCTTATATTAGGCAGGGCCATGTGCCTCGTTTTCACCTAAAAATATATAAGCAGAAGTGACACTGTGACTTCTGGGTTGAGGCATATAAGAGCTGGTGTGCCATACCCACGTTCTCTTTTTCTTGCAAAACACATATTGAGACAGTGGCCTCATAAAACAGAGGGAGCCTGGATCCTAAGCCACAGGATGAAAGAGAGCTGTCAGTGGCCCATGTTGGTCTTGGCATGAGGGAGAAATAAACTTCTGCTGTGCTATGCCAATGACATTTTGGAGTTTCTTACTGCAGCGTAGCCTAGCCTAGCCTGACAAATGCACTGAGGTACTTCAGTTTCCTCTCTGCACACTACCAACCAAGCAACAAGACAGGTAAAAGAGGTGGGAGAAAGTACAGACTAGTGCACAGAAAAATGGAAGAGTTAGAGAATGCTGGCAATCTTTGGAAAATGAGGAAGCAAAAGTAGAATTACATTAAGACAGCAAATCTATGTTCCTTATGGAGGCTTAGAGATCCCACCCGGCACCTTTGTTCTGGCCATGGAATGTCTTTGCATACAAGATGAAAATATTCAAAGAGCAATTCTTACCTGCGTAACTGAGCATTTTCACTTCTTAGTGGTTGCATGGCCAATGCTATTTCAACTTGAATATTTGTGTTTCCACTTATTGCTGGAAGCAGAGACATGCACGCCTCCAGTTCTGTAACCAGCCTCTGAATTTCTGAATCCCCTACAAAAGGCAGAAGAAATGAATAAAAACAATATTGTAGGCTGTTTTTGGTAAGGTTATTAGTATGTATTACTAAAAAAGAAAATTTTTATAACTATGTACATATTTGCTATAAATAAATTCGACTCAGTTATTTACAAGTCCCATTTTCCTCCTTCTTGCTGCCTGTATTAGCTTACTCGGAAAAATTCTAAAGATATTAAGGTCAGTAAATTCATGATTAAGCATAAACCACAGGATTATTATATTAGTGGTTTTCTTCAGTTAAAGAATCTCACAGGAAGGTAGTTTACACATATCTACCAGTTCATATTTACCAAAAGACAATACTGGGCTCCTAAATTGCTTGCAGTAGGAGCATTTATAACACAACCTTTGATTCTGGCATAAACAAATAATTTACCTTAGGTAACTGATTTGGCAAAACGGTGAGTGAGGTTCTACAAAGATTAGGTTTCACTATTTAATTTTATAATACTAGATTTAGCACATCCAGCCACGCCTCATTTGACTGCCATCAACAGCAGCACCATCCTGCTATCAGCTGCAGGGCGTGGATGGTTTCGGAGGCGGCAAGCAGGTACAGGTGGAGGGGAGATATGAGATCTTCTGTCTTTTGTTGTTGTTGTTCCCTCACTCGCCTTCAAATTATCTGTGAACTGAAAGCATCTACGAATACTAACTGTGTGATGACCAAAAGAGGTAGAAAGTATATTCTAAGTGTCATGGATTGAATAGTGTCCCCCCAAAACTTCTGTCACTCGGCTATGTCATGATTCCCAGTATCTGAGCTTATCTAACATTTTGTCATCTGATGTGATTTTGCTATGTGTTGTAAATCTTGCCTCCATGATGTTAATGAGGCAGGATTAGAGAAGTGATGTTAATGAGGCAGAACTCAATCTACAAAATTAGGCTGTGTCTTAAGTCAGTCTTTTTTGAGATATAAAAAAGAGAAGCCAGCAGAGAGACATGGGGGACCTCGTATTACCAAGAAAGAAGTGCCAGGGGCACAGCACATCCTTTGGACCTGGGGTTCCTGCGCAGAGAAGCTTGTAGTCCAGGGGAAGACTGATGACGAGGAACTTTCTCCAGAGCTGACAGAGAGAGAAAGCCTTCCCTTGGAGCTGACGCCTTGAATTTGGACTTCTAGCCTACTAGTCTGTGAGAGAATAAACTTCTGTTTGTTGAAGCCATTGCTTGTGGTATTTCTGTTATAGCAGCCCTAGATAGCTAAGACACTAAATTACAAAAATTACTCAATTCCACAGGGTATTTCAACACCCTGATAAAAAATACATGAACACAGGAGACAACTGTGCCCGATTACCAAGCAATCCTCTACCAACCCGGTGTAGAACAGTTTTACTTATGGGCTTTGGAGACAGAGAGTTGGGCTCCACCACTTTCTAGCAACACAATGTTAGTCAAACTATTTAACTCTTAAAGATGAACGTAAAATATGTCATTAATAACTTTTTATATTGATTACACGTTAATAGTCTACATATATTGGGCTAAATAAAACATATTATTTAAAAAAAATTATTTAACTTTTCAAGCCTGGGTTTCTTCATGGTTAAATGAAGATAATAACAGTATCTCACAGGGTTGCTGATAGAATTAAATGAGATAATGTTCTCCAAGCCTCAGTTTCCTCATCTGTAAAATGGGGGCAATAACAGTACCTCATAGGGTTGCTGTGAGGATTAAATGAGATAATGTCTATAAAACACTTAGCACAGTGCCAGGGACATAGTAAGTATTCAACCAATGACAGCTACTATTGTTACTGTTATTATTATCGTTACCATGACAAAGTATTTGGTTAGGAAAATGTTAATAAATTAAAGGTCTGAAAATGCATCAATTTTAACACATTGACAATTTGGATTAATGATGCTATTTTTCTACAGCTACATTTTGAATTTGGTATTTTTTTGTCTGTTGGCAAACATTATTCAATCAGTGCTTCCACAATCAATTACTGTTTCCCCAGATAACAAATCGGTAACACACTTCAAGAAAAAGTCATTACTTTAGAAAATACATACATAATGAAAACGAATACAACCTGGCTCAAATATCACGTAAGTCCACCTAAGACATTTTTCATGATTCAATTTAAAAAATCCTAAAAGTAAACTGAAAAGAGCATTACCATAAAATGTTTTGGCTACCTCTCAAAGCGAGACGTGTGAAACAAAATAACAGCTGTTACTAAAGAAGTGATGGGCACCTTTCAGCCAAGGATTAGACAGGCCCATAAAACAGAAGCAGACTAAATGGGCACACCAACCCAGGGGCAAGGACGAGAAGGCAGGAGGGGACAGGAAAACTGGTAATGGGGAACCCAAGGTCAAGAAAGGGAGAGTGCTGACACATTGTAGGGTTGGAAACCAATGTCACAAAACAATGTGTGTACTAATTGTTTAATGAGAAACTAATTTGCTCTGTAAACCTTCAACTAAAGCACAATTTAAAAAAAAAAAAAAAGAAGAAGAAGAAAGAGTGATGGGGAGAAAATCTCTGTACCTTTTTCAAGCGGGAAAAAGAATCAATCTACTCCAGGGAATTAATCATCAATTAATCTCTGACCGCTAAAATTTTATCTCCACAAATTCTCTTAGATTAAATCTTTTCAAGGTCTCTTTGGATCAAGTAGAATGAATATACACTTGCAAGCAAAAGGCTAAATGTTTGATATTCCCTAAGACATTTCAAATTCACAAGGGGGTAGGGCAGGAAAGGGATTCAAAACCTAAAAGCGTAAAACAGGCAGAACTCATTTCCTTGTTGGCTTAAGACACAGTTCTGTGGAAAATACCCCAAACTCCGCATTGATTATTCTAAATTTAAATGATGGCTAAATAATATGACGGTGCTATTTAGCATACCACTATGCCACAGAAAAATATAAAGAAAGTGCTCAGCTACCTTGTTCTACTACCAGGGACTTGAGCTCTCCCAACAAATACTTTATAGTTCTAGCTTTGTCGGTGGTCTGGTTCACATTTTTTGCCTTCTGTGCATCCTTGACAGTTCTTGCCTCTCGCAAACGTATGTTTAACTCCTTTCCTTCACTGGTGGCTTCTCCAGTATTTTCCCTGGCACATTTCTTTTCATTAGTGGCCAAGAAAGCTGGCTGTGTTCGAGCAGGGCTTCGGTGTGTCTGACTGTCCGAATGAGTTTCCTTTCCATGACAACGCAACAGAGACATATATGTTTGGAGACATTTTAGTAGGTCTGCGTCCTTAGAGACATTTAGCAGGTCTGCTTGCTGTGGAAGAATTCCATCAGCAAGACCCAGCTGGGGATACACTGGGATAGCCGATTTATCGGATTTGGGCAGGCTGCGTGGAGCTCCAGGACTGGTATTGAAGGAACCCCTTGGAGCATCAGTAGAGCTCACAGACACTGTTTTACCTTCTGACGCAAACTGGTTGTCACTATCAGTCTGAACGTCCTAAAGAAAGAAAAAAAATACGTTAACTCTTCAAAAGTGCAAGCATTGGCTTCCAGGCATTGATTAGAATAAACTCAAACCAGAAATATTAGAAAATGACTTTTTGCACGATGGAGTTACAGATGACCAGTGAGTAAACGAGATTTCTCCTCAGTACAGTGAAGACTCTAGTTTTTTACAGCTTAGTGAGTTCAGTCTGCAACACAGGAACATGGCAAGGCTGTGACTAAGATAGACTGTTCGCAAACACCACAACTGGTGTAAAGGCGTCAAAAATTAGCTGCGTTCATATTTCCACTCTGGGGAACTGTAGGAAAAGAAGCTCAAACACACAAAAAGCTTTTGCATAAACATACTTCCAGAAACGTTACAGTACTAAAAACCTGGCTGTTACCTAAATGTCTAACCACAGGGGAGTAGTGACACCAGCCTATGGTATATCCACTAAATATAGTAATAACCACTCATTAAAAATTTACAAAAGGCATATTTTAATACAGAAGTATGCTTACAATAAAATGTTAAGTGAAAAAAAGCAGCATATAAAATTTAATTATAACTGTATTTCAAAAAGAAAGCAAACTTAACAGCAACAACCAAAGAAACCAGAAAACAAAATCTCACAGAGAATTAAATGATTAGAAAGCACTCTATCAGTGTGTTAATAGAAATTGTGCTTGGGTGGTAGGGATGGGTGATTTCTTTTTTCTATTGTTTTCCACACCTCCCGCCCCTCCTTCCCCACTTTCTACCCTACCACTGTCCTTAATAATTAGGTATTTTTCTAATAAAAATAAACTTGAAAAAGATAATTAGTCTTCATATCCTACTGCATTAAGATACAATCAACAATCAGTACATTCAATTGTCCTTACTACGATGACAATTTTTACAGGCAAATCATTCCCTGTACAGTACAAAAATGTACCCACAGAATGAACCACTGGAGGGCAGGATGGCCGCTGAGGTGACTGGACTGGGGTGGAGGTCGGCAAGCCATAACTAGAACGCGGAGTTGCCTGAGATTCTAAAAGGTAAGAGGGAGAGAAAATCACTCACATCTCATCCTGCTTACACAATAACCACGTGATTTAATTACAGCTTCTATTCATGCTTTTAAAAACATTATTCATACTAACCAGAAGCAGAAACAGTATGGCAAGGTATAACAGGAATTCCACTAGAGCTGTTCTTTGAAGCCAAGTCATTCATCAGTGACATCTGAGTCTGCACGTGCTCACAGAGGGCTTGGTATATTATGGGTGAATACATTCTATAATGATCTTGTAATAACCGATTTTGTGCTATGTCTGATGAGTCTCTTTCATTTCTAGCAGAAGCTTCATCCGGTATCTGTTTCTTATTATCTGAAGATACTAATGTGGAGGAAGGAAAAAAAAAAGTTCTTGAAATAGGATTCTTCAAAAATTTTCAGAATAGGGTCTTAGGGACAAAAAGCACTCTCAGAAGTAGCCCGATTCAACATGATATACTTCACAGAAAGGCTTTACCACTATCACCCCTAAAGAAAATCACCTCAAATTCTTTTTCAAAGTAGGTAGGTAATAAATTGTTTCCCCCAGTCAAAAATTATCCATACTATTCTTTAATATCTCCATTAAATGCTACTTGTGGAATTTCTCCTTCGATTACATTCTGATACAAAGAGCTCTTGAGGGTGTTACGTTCTCTCTAAAGTCCAATAAATATCCTTCACGTTGCCCCTGGCCCAGTTCATGCTCCCAGGGGAAAACGGAGTAGGAAAAACAGAGTACTTTGTGGTAATTCTGATGCTTTGACTGTAAAGAAAATCAAAGCTTAGAGATCATGAAAAGAAAAAAAAGACTTAATCTACACATTGGGGCTTCAAATTCTACTTTTCCAGCTATCTTCCCAAGACTCTCAACTCAAATTTTTTTTTCTAGCCAGGCCAGTTTAGTCACCCTACAGGCCTTTCTCACCTTTCCATAACATTGCTCATACGGACCCATCCCTTCCAATTCAATTCTACTCACTCACCAAGGCTCAGATGAGGGCTTGACTCTTCCATGAAGCCTTTGCTAATCATTCCAGTCCAGGGACTGTTCTTGTCGATCCCAGAGCACATATTTTCTATACAAATCATACCCCACTTACACATCGCCCTATATTGCTTATCTTTTCATCTCTTGTCCCTCTGACTCAACTATCAGCTTCTTTAGGCAGGGCTGGCTGCATCTTACACTTCATTATTTTCTCCCATAGAGCCTGGTATTAGTCTATGTACAAAGTAGAAACCTGGTATTAATAAACTAATAAATCAAAAACAACAAAGTTTTCTACAAAGCACTACTGTATAGATCAGTGCCAAAAATCTGAAATGTATTCCCCTGTCTAGTAACATTCCCTTCTGAAATGTTTTTTAAAGACTACTGACAGCAGTCAGAGTGTTCTGGTAGATCATAGGTTATCAGGGTACAAAGTAAGTTTAGAAAAATATATAGCTTTCGGCAGTACCTACCAAAGACGAATACACACATATTCTATGACACAGCAGTCCTACACCTGGGTATATACCTAAAAGAAATGAGTGCTTATGTCTGCTAAAATATGTACAGAAGAATGTTCATAACAGTTTCATTAGTAGTAGCCCAAAACTGAAAGCACCCAAATAACCATCAATAGAAATGAGTAAATAAATTGTGGTATAGGGTTGCTGTAAGTCAGAATCAACTTGACAGCAATGAAAACAGGCATTCAATGAAATAAACTGCGGTATACAATGAAACCTTATACAGCAATGAAAAAGAACAAATTACTTATACACACAACTACCTGGATGAATTTAGCAGACACTAGGTTGTATGAAATATATCAGACACAAGAGTACATAGTGTATGATTCTGTTTACATGAAGTTCAAAAACAGGCAAAACTAGCCATTAGAGATGGAAGTCAGATTAGTGGTTACGCAGGAATGAGGCATAGGCTGTGGAGGTGCTGATGGTGAGAACACTGACCAGGAGGGAGCCCTACAGGGTGCTGAAAATGTTCTGTATCTTGATCTGGGTGGTGACTACATGGGTGTATTCATATGCAAAAATAATCACTGAGATTGATGTACTTAACTTTACAAGAGTTATTCCTCAATTTAGAAATATCTTTTTTTAAGTTAAATTAAAAACTACACAGAATCCTTCAATATGTAAACATGTAATACATAGCTTATTGAAAATAAAAACATTGCTAAAAGTATAAAACTTAAGTGCAACAGCAAAAACCAAAAAAGTTAAAAGCAGATTACATACCATAATCAGTAAAAACGGGGAAAAAAAATTTAAGATAAAGACTGCTAAATGAATATTTGACTATGAATATGGTTGGCGATTCAATGGCTCCATTTTGACTTGCTGTGTTTCCTTTTGAAAACACTCTACTCCTGTGAACGCACTTCCTAGGCCAGAATTCATAAGCTTTAGTACTTATTAGCTGAGTAACCTCGGGCAAATTACTTAATGTCTCTGGGCTCCTTTTTCGCACCAGAAAAATGGTGATAATAAGAGTACCTATTTCAAAAGGTTGTTTTGAGAATTAGTAAAGGAGATAACACTTGTAAAACATTTAGATCAATGTCTAGCACATACAAGAACTCAATAAATGTTCTCTCTATTACCAAATGGCTGCAAAGCCTTTAGACAAATAAATATTTCATATTCATAAATCTTCCCACTTGATATCAGTAAGTACCCGATACCTCTAAGTATGTTCCCTCTAAGGAGATTAAAACCGAAAGCAATAAGTTATTCGTTATCTGAACAGACGAGCTACAGCAAAAATGGTTAAACAAGTATCTGTAAAACTATGTAGTTCTTACTGGAAATCCAATTATAATACACCAAATGGAAAAGTAACCTCTGAAATATTTTCATTTGGAAATTTAAAATGGGTGAGAGGGTGAGATCAGAGTTAACCCACGGCTGTCCAATCACAGATTTCAGGCCTGCGGTGTAAACAGCATCACACCAGCCCCGCACTCTTCCTTTCCTCCCGATCTCCCGGTCTCTCTTCTGCTCTTGGATTATATTTGGCCCCTCAAAAACAAAACGGTCTGGTGTGAGGAATTCTCAGATTTCATACTCATACTCCCAGGCGTTGGCTCTAATTCACTTTCTTTTCCAGGGCTGTCGTCTACAAGCTCTGATAAAGCTGAGCTCTAATATTATGCCTCTCAGCCACCAAATGTCATCATCCAACATAAACTGATCAATGCCAAACAATTTCTTAAAAATTAAAGCTTTAGAAAGACTTTCCATGCTCCCTAATTAATCCCATCCATATGAAACTATACTGATAATGTTGAATGTTTGGATTTAAGATACAAAGCCTTCAAAGCAAATAATCCAAGACAGGTAATATCAAACTGACAGAAAAGATTGCATTTATATTGCTACTATACAATTTTAAAATAAACAAAACAAACCACCAACAACAATAAAAAGAGCCTGTTACTACACAAATACAAATGGAGTATTTTTTTCTTGCTCTTGTTTCATTACACCAAAGCACTTTCCATGAAAATTGTACCTAACCGATCAGAATGGCAATGTTTAATTGGTGTCAGTTGATAAATTTATTCATAAACCACTAGAATTCATGAAAGGTATGCACTTACTCAGTCCACAAAACTTTTCTAGTCCTTGCATTCTTCCTGAGGTACAAACACTGGATGTTGTTCCACAGTCTGACAGGTGAGAAAATCTCTGCCACCCAAATATAGAACAAACATCTAATGCAGATAGGAGCCATGCACTGTAACTGTCTGTTATAATTTGAAATATGTAAGGGAAAACCTGGCCTTGATCGGGGCAATCAATGCTTAAAGGATTCTGTCTGTGGTGGTTTATTGGCCCAGGTGAGGGCAGCAATGTATGTATGTTACTGAAAGCAGTCACATACCCAGAGCATTCAACACAGTTGCTAATTAAAAAAAAGATTTTTTTTTTCTTTAAATGTCAGGAGCACTTCCAAGTTCAGCGTATATCTGCAACTGCTTCTCTGCCTCCTTACTCCATTCTACATCAAGGCGCACTTACTTGACTCCACAGAACCTCAGTGAAAAGGCAGGTCCCAGAAAGAAAGTACATAAGGATGCGCCCGAAGATAGTTGTAAAAATGGCAGTGCAGAGGCATCTGACCTCCTCGTCTAACTACATAAGGGGGAAGGAGAATCTAGATCAACAGCCCAAGGCTTATTCCTATGAAGCAGAGGTCAGACATACCTCCTCCTCTCTCCAAACTTTTTACCAATTCTGACACCAGCCATCCCTCCCATGGCACTCTCTACTTCTCTGCTGGGTTCAGTAATTCATTGCAATGGCCTCACAGAACTCAAAGACCAAACTCACAGTTATGGGATTATTCAGGGAAATAACAGGGTACAGCTTGGGATCAGAAATGACTCAGGTTACAGTTCTCCAATCAGGACAGCTTCTTCTCAGCTGTGTCCGGAGGCAGGCCTCTCTCTGGCCCTCGGCCTCTCCTCTGCCCTGCTCTGGCAAGTGTTACAAAGCTTCTAGCTCTGTGGGTTGCAATCCCCACCACAGCTTTCTCCCGCTGGTCTCCTGGTTTCTGCCATCTTGTACCGCTATTGCTCTTGCTACTGCTGCACTGCCATCTCTCTCTGTCTTCTGTGTTATAGTTCCCTCTCTCTGTCTCCCGGGTCTAGGAGGTCCTCAGTGCAGGGACCCTGGGTCCAAAGAACACGCTCCATTCCCGTCTCTTCTTGGTGGTAGTGAGGCCTCCCTCTGCTCTAGGATTGGCTCTCTTTTAAGCCTAGCGCAATGGTAAAACTGACCAATCCACTCATTAGGGCTCCATACACCTTGTGTGCATGGTCTCACTCCCACAAGGGTGCCATGCACCTTATTTGCATTATTAGCAAGTTATCCAATCCCCTTGGTAGGCCACAAGCACCTTATTTGCATAGCCACACCCAGTCCTTTGGTGGGAGTTACAAGACATGGCAAGAAAAGCCATATAAAAGCAATCTATCGCACCACAAGAGTTAACACAAACAGCAAGTTAATGTATGTTAACATTAAAATGACATACAGATATTGTTTAACATGCTATAAGAGATTCCTTAAAGTTCTATTTATGATTACATCACTTGGGGTAATATGTAAAAGAGTGCAAGTGTTGAGCTTGATTTTTGTGTATTGTTGAACACTGTAATAACAGAGCAAAAACCTTGCAGATAGTGCTACAGAGTTTGGTAAACTAAAAAAGGTAAGAGTAGTTGAACAAAAAGGAAGGGAGCTTCTGCTTCTTAAGTCAGCCTTAGGAGTAAATAAAACAATGAAAACCATTTTCTAATCCTGCACCCCTAAAGGAGATTGTCCCATGGGAAGCAGGTCCTTCCTTCTGATGAACAAAGTCTAGGGGAAAGATAAGAATACTGTGCCCTGATCACAGGCCAGAATGGCTGATCTGACTCTAATCTAAGTGAAAATTTAATGCTGGGAAGCCAAAATGCCAGATATCTCCCATCTGCCCCACCAAATCCATCCTCCACTCATCTCCACCTTAGTCTCCCTGGGATGCTGATCTATATGGATTGTATTGTAGAAACAGACAGTCTTTTATGGGTCTCTCCTGCTCTTTCAGGACATGCTGGTTACGCCAAGAAAACAACAACCTTGAGGGATGAGGTACTGTTTCCCTCTGGGACGACGAGCAGGCTTGTTTACTGCTTGCTATAAAAGCAATGGAGTGGTACATACATACAATGGAACCACTACTCAGCAATAAAGAAAAAAGAGTTCCTAAGACGTCTGACAATGTGAATGAACCTGGAGGACATTATGTTGAGTGAAATAAGTCAATCACAAAAAACAAATATTGTATGACCTCACTTTTATGAAATGACATAAGTAAATACCCAGAAACTCATGTTCATCAGTGGTTACCAAGGATGGGTGGGGGGAAAAGGGGGACCCACTCTTTAGATAGTAGACACTAGTCATTTTTGGTGATGGGAAAGGTAACTCCAAATGATGGCAAAGTGTGCACAACTAGACAAGGTAAATGATGTCACTAAGATGTAGACAAGGAAAAAGGGCCTTTTCATAATTGGTATAGCATACATAATTTTGCAACAACCAAAAAATATATGTGCAAGTATATATGTATGTGTGTATACATATATGTGTATATATATATATATATATATGTGTGTGTGTGTGTGTGTGTGTGTGTATGTGCATGTATATGTGACCATATGCACATACATTCATATACGTAATAAAGCACATAGGGAATGCAGTTA